TACTGTCGGCTGAGGAGGGGTGTTCACTCCTGTGTCCTAAACACCAAGACAGAGTTGTCAGAGATGGGGCTCTGTTACAGCCCAGGGCCCAGGGTGTAGACTTAAAGGATGTAGGCTGATGGGCAGGAAGATCTAGGAAGAGGAAGGGGAGACATCACATTCTACCCATTAACCGTTCTGGCTGCTCTGTAGTTGAGAGAGCTTCCCAAGGCTTCAAATAGCCTAGAAAATTAAGCACTTTCTCAAGGAGAGAGTCTAAAGAAATTCTTCTATATTTCTATTTTGCGTTTCAATGAGGCCTGAAGACTAGAAGAGAATAAAAGGATTGGGGGTGGGGGCAATGTGGAATCCCCTCAGGGAATGGAGGACAGGCCTGTGGGCAGGCACACCCCCAACATTCATGGGACATGGGGCAAGAGTACAACTGAAGGCGCATATACCATGTATCTATATATTTAAAGTTCTAACTCAAGTTAATAAGCAGTTAAATGACATGTGTTTTATCCTCCTACTTTAATGCCTCTATAATGACCTAAAAGTTTCGATTTAGTGTTCTTTGATTTCTGTGCAAAAAGGTGGGATCATGGAGCTGCCCATGACCTGCCCCCAAACTGCCCCCTCCACCCATCCCATCCATCCTGCACCATGGGGGCCTGGCATGCATGCATGTGGCCGCTCCAGCCCAGACAACAAACTCCATGCAACCCGTCACTCCCCTGCAAACAGCTGCCCCTTGTCCACTCCCTCTGACGTAGGATGCCTACACTAGCAGTGCCATCTACCCTCAAGAGGATGGATGCAGGGCAGTCTCAGGACCATTTAGGCAGGAAATTCCAAGGCCCTGGGTTGGTGGAGGGTGGACTGGAATGTGAGGGTCATTGGCCCCAGATAGGCACATCCCTGTGGCCCGACAGATTCATCATCCTGTGAGTAAGGGAGTGGCTGGGTGATGGTCAGAGCAGGGACTCTTTCAATTGTGGGGTCAGGGCGAGGATCTCTCTTGCCCAGGAGGTCCTGCCTCTTCTCCGTAGAGTGGGTTGGGCCAGTAGAACCTTACTGTCCTTTTTTTTGAGGAAGACTAGCCCTGAGCTAACATCTGCTGCCAATCCTCCTCTTTTTGCTGAGGAAGACAGGCCCTAAGCTAACATCCATGCCCATCTTCCTCTACTTTATATGTGGGATGCCTGCCACAGCATGGCTTGACAAGCAGTGCCACGTCCACACCCAGTATCTGAACCAGTGAACCCTGGGCCGCTGAGAAGCAGAACATGCGCACTTAACCACTGCGCCACCAGGCCGGCCCCAGAACCTTACTATCCTAATAAAAGCAACTTTATTTAAAAAGCAGCTTGGTTTCTCAGTCTAGTTGTCATTAGGAAAGTTCCTCTTCCCAGCTGGTTGGAGTCACAGGGTGGTCTGCTCTTCTTAAACAAGTGCCAGATGTTCAAATGGCAGTCAGCTGTCACCGAAGGAGTTTGTTTTCCAAGTTATGCTGACATGTAGCCCCGCTGTGCAAAGTCCGATGACATTGCCTGAAACCAAAAGAGAGGTCTAAGGGCTAAGGACTGTGTCTGAGGAGGGAGAAACACCCCGGTATTAACATGCGCCATTCTTGCTAGGAGCCTGAAGAGTCTGTTTTTCAGAGGAGGTTTGGTAACATCAATTAATATGAGGTTGCTTACTTGCTGAATTGCTTTTTATTTCTTTTAAGAACATCTGCTATTTTTCTGACTTCAAAAGTAATATCAATTTATTGAAAAAATTGAAAAATAGAAGAAAGGAAATTTAAATCATCCATAATCCTGCACTCCAACAATAATCACTGTTGATATTTTAGGCAATTTTCATTCCATCGTTTGTTCTGTTTCTTAACCATAATTTGGCAGTGGTTGTGGTTTAGTTGGCTGCACAGGTGAGGAACAGAGAGAGAAACACAACTTCGTTCTTCCCCTCGGGTGTGGAAAGATGCCAGCCGCCGTGGGAGTAAATTACCCATAGCATCTGTCCTCCATTCTTCTGCAACCTCCTCGCCCGCCACAGTTCCTCTTTGACCATCCAGGATCAGGCCCAGCTGGAAGGAAAGTCATACAGTAATCACATTTATGGCCTCCACTATGGGCTGCTATTTTAAAGGAAAGATCCCCAATATTTAACTACATCTGTGCCTTTGTACATGCTTTTCCTCCTGCCTGGAATATTCTCCTTATTCCTCTTTCCCTATGTGAAGGTTGAACATCTTTCTAGGCCTAGTTCAAACTTTGACCTCCTTCATAAAGTCCCCCTTGACCATCTCGGCCCACAGTGATTTCTTCCTCTCTGAAAACCTATGGAATTCGGCTCATTTTGAATTCTTGCAGTGCCTTATATAGCTCCCCCATCTATAGATATATGGCCATCTGTTTATATTTATCTTCTCAATGGGATAGAAAGCTTCTTAAGAACATGGATACTTTGCACATAAAGGGTACTCACAAATATTTATTCATGGACTGATAACTCTATGCTTAATTGACTTTCTATTCCAAGAAGGTGATATTAGAAAAGTAATGCATCTGCTGTTTCTTTCCTAGCCAGCTGTCTCCAAATCTTGCGTTTTCAGAAGCTGTGAGAAAAGGGAGCAAGCTGTGACTGAAAGTTTCAGTTCCCATTTTAAAGATCCCTTATTGAGCAGCTCAGATTGTCCACAGTTTCCATTTGCAACGGATAATCAATTAACTGTGAGTTCTGCTGCTTGCCACAGAGCAGCCCAAATTGCGTCGGCTGACCCCACAGCCGGTGGAAGTCTCAACCCAAGGGCAGTGAGTCCTCGAAGGACGGCCCTTCCCCATCTGCAGCTCAGATTTACTTTGCGTTTTTTGCGTTTTCATTAAAAGAAAAACAAAAACACAGTGTAGAACGGTCACTTAGAAGGGTAAAAAGTGAAGAGTGGTCACAGAGAAAGCCTGCAGGTCCCGACCCTTTGGGATATCCTTGTAGAAGGAGGCCCTTCACACTTTAGAAAGCTCTTCCCCTGGTGTCCCTGCAACGGTGACAGGTGCTCGCCTTTTCCCAGATGAGGATCAAAAGCGCTTACTGTGGGGTCTTCCTTGTGTTCTCTGTCATTCTTTCAACTCATACGTAATCCCAGTTTCCAGGACTCTAAAGCAAGATGTGCTTCCTACCAGCACCTCTGCATTCACTCTTATGACTAGGTTATCTCCTTTTTTTATTGTGGCAAAATATACGTAACATAGAATTTACCATTTTTAATCCTTTTTAAGTGTACGGTTCAGTGGCATTAAGTACATCCACACTTGTGCTGAGTTCTCTCCTACGGTATTTAGAGCGTTTTAATGCTGAGAAAAATTATGAACAACTCAAAGCTCTGGCACTCGTTGGCCTTTGGCAAATAACTTAATTCTTCTGTTTCTTTATCTGTAAAGTAGCAATAGCACCTATGTGGTGGGGTTCTTGTAAGGATGAAATGAAAAGTGTACCTCTAAGGCCTTAACGTAGAGTTCTGGCAGATGGTATATGTTATCTGTTGTGGTTAATCATAGTCTTCAAGCCAAATGTGTAGAATTAAAATAGTTTCTGAACCCTACATGATCATCACACTAATTCACAATGTACTGTTCTTTCAAATAACAAGTAAAAGTTAAAAGTCTTGAAAAGCATATTAAAAGATAATTTGATAAGAATTATCAAAGGCATTGTACTTAACGTATTTCCCCTATTTAAATTAGCATATCGCCATTTTTATGCATTATATTTCTAGGAGATATCCTAATTCTGCAAATTTTATTTGCCTGCAGTTTAATTCCTAATTCTCTGTCCAGTACACTCTATTCTCAAACTTCAACGTGAATAAAAATTATCCAGGAAGCATGTCAGAATGCAGATTGCCAGGCCCCGCCCCAGTGATTCCAGTTTAAGAGTTTGGGAGTCGAGGGCCATGCATTTTACTGAGCATCAAGGTAGCCTGGGGATCTCACTTGTAGAAACACACCCATGGTGTAAATAAACATCTGTCACTATATTCAGGAGGGTCCTTAATTTACTCACTGTGCTCCAGAGGTATATGTTCTAGTTTTAATACATTTCTTATGCATTATTTAACAAAACTCTTCATTTTCACATAGAAGTCCTCAACACTTTACCTATGACAGTGGTCACTCATAATAATCAGTTCGTATATTGATGCTTCAACTGTACGGGTTATGTAAAACTTGGTCCTTGTATACTCCTGATTTCAGGAGGAAATTTATGCATTTAACATTTAGTTTCAGCCACCTCATTGATATTCGGTATTAACAAGATATAATACATAGTAGATTAATAGAGATCCCACTTAGAGGCCATGCACCCATTCATGATGCACTTTGAAACCATGGTCTTCCTTGCCTTTGTTAATCTGGCTGTCTTTCCAGAAATGCCCTTTCTACTTTTGTCTGTCCTTAGAAGACATGAAATTGTGGTAATAAAGTGTTGTGATTGACTCATGTAGTTTTTGTAAATTAAAATTAGTTGCCAACATTTATAAAAATCCAGATATCTAGCTTCTCTTGATAAACCAGAATCTCTGGTCCACAGGGCCTTGGGATCCTACATGGCATCCACTAGCTGGAGCATGGGACATGGGCTCCACCTTCATTCCAGTCCCAAGCTCTTCCCAGTGCACCAGGGTCTCCCAGTTTCTAGCATTTGACATATGTTCTAGACCATGGAATGTAACAATGAAACCATGTCATATCTATTGCTAGTTCCTTCTGTCTTACGTTTGTCTCCTGGTTGATTGTGCACCATGGGAGGAAGGGAAGGTCTTACTTCTGCCCCGTAATGTGGTAGTCAGCACTCGGTAAGGGCCTCGGTAAGCCCTTGGTTGACAGACAGCGTATGCTGTAGTTCCGAGTATATTTCACACAGGTACGTCTTCTCTCTCCAGCAAGACCACGAGCTCCTTGCAGTGGCTGGCATGGTGATGAACGCTTACTGATCTGATCTTTTAATATTTTATTTAGAATTTTTACTTGGATAACAAAGGAAAAAAAGAAAGCAAGGAAACAAATGGGAAAATGAATGCCAAGAACAAAGAATCCTTACTTGAGGTAAGTTTGGTTTTGCAGAGCAGAAGAAAAGGGAAGGATGTTAACTGCATCTATTTTTAAATTATTTGCTTCTCAGAACAAAGGGAGACTCTGAGACACACTGAAATTTTAACCTGGGGTTTTAAAATCAAATTATTACTAAATTATAGCTATTTAGATAATTGAACTGGTTCTTTGAGTCAGTTGTTAAAAACTATGGCTTTAGACAGTATATTTTGCTTTTCAGGAAGTTGTGTTAGTAATTCTTGCCTAAAAGACTGAGGAATCTGCATAAAACTCATCTCCTAACATTGCATGCATTTCATTACTTGAGTGCCCCGCAGAAGTCAGACATAAGGATTTCCGAGTCTTTACAGTGAATTCTAAGATGCTCTTCCAGCAGCCAGGTGTGGTAGGCAGGGTGAGATGTGGAGTTAGAGACCTGATACAAAGTGGCCTTTGCCCGTCAAGGATCATATGTTGTTGGGCAAGTCCAAGAACCTCGGTTTCCTGAATTGTAAGGAATTATTACAGAAATCCAGGGAGGTAGTGAAAGTACAGGGTGTCAATTACTGTACAGATGTCTGTGATGATCACTATCGGGACATGTTCCAGAAGTTCATTTGATGGTTGATTTTTTTGAAACTTCTAATGATTTTTCACATAGTAACTAATGCAGATGCGTGCTGGATCACAGGTCCCAAAGGGGCATGCTGGAGCACCAGACAGGCTTTCTTCGCCCCTGACAATGTGTTGACCTTTTCTTGAGTTAGTAGATTTGGGGCGTCTCATAAAAATCAGATGACCTGAAAAGTTTAAAAAAAAAATCAGAAGACCTAGTGACCCCTGGGCCCCCATTCCCATGTGGAGCCAGTTCACTGACACTGAAGAGCTCCCTCTCCCGTTCACCAAGTCTGCCCAGGGCCTCCACAGGTTTCTGTCCTCGCCAGGCCCTCCTCGCCCTGTACGAGATGGAGCAGGCACCACAAGCTTGCTGCCACCATCAAGGTCCCAAAAATATATTATGAGTTCTGGTTCCTGGGATCAAGAGCACAGTGGGCAATTCCCAGGGAGGCCCAACAGGGGGAATGGGGACATTGTGTCTGCATTTATGAAACAGACTTCAGGTTGCGTTGAGAAGGTGAGGCACCAGGTGTCCCCAGCAGCACGGAGATCCAGGTTCTGAGCATTCTTAGCAGGGATGGCGACTGACAGACGTGGAAGGGGAGTGAACGGTTTCCTGACAGGGCCATGTGTTTTTAATCAATGCTTCTGCATCAGCTGTCTGTGAATCAGGGACTGGTTATGACTTGATGTACACAGTTGCCTGAATAATTCTTGTTATAGGACTCCAGCTGTGCTTTAAAAGCTGGATGTGAAAGAAAATATAAAACATGCTATGTTATGAAAAATCAGCGTTATGCCGCTAATTTGGCCCAAAAATATGATTGAATTTAAGAGAGTATTGACAAGACAACTAATACTAGCTAAATTTGGTGGGAAATGTGAACAAATGTGTATCCCAGCTCCACTACATATAAATTACTTGAAGGATGCAAAATTAGAAGTTATTCTACATTGATGAGACTGCATGAAAGGGGGTTGAAAGTTACAGAAAATAAAGCAAAAAATAAGTTTGAGTATTTGAACTGGAAGATAGAATAATATATAATTTATTGCATTGCTTTTTAAAAGAAATTTAAGAGCTATATAATTCTAGGCAAGTTTTGGCATTTGAAAATCCACACCTAGAAAATGTACTTTGTCACTGTCTTTTTCTGATACCATAAGATTAATAATTGCCTTCTTCATTCTTTGATAGGAAAACTATCCCAAAAGAAGGAAATCTTGCCATTGGCAACAACGTGGATGGACCTTTAGGGCATTATGCTAAGCGAAATAAGTCAGACAGAGAAAGACAAATACTGTATGATGTCACTTATATGTGGAAGCTAAAAAGAAAAAACAACTGAACTTATAGATACATAGAACAGATTGATTAGTGCCAGAGGTGGGGTGTTGGTGGGGGCCAAATGGGTGAAGGAAGTGAAAAGGTATAAAGTTCCAGTTATAAGATAAATAAGTCATGGAGATGTAATGTACAGCATGGTGACTGTGGTGGACAATACTGTCTTGTATATTTGAAAGATGCAAAAAGACTAGATCTTAAAAGTTCTCATCACAAGAACAAAAATTTGTAGCTATGTAAGGTGATGGATGTTAACCAAACTTATTGTGGTAAATTTTGCAATGTATACATGTATCAAATCATTAGGTTGTATACCGAAAACTAATACCATATTACATGTCAATTATATGTCAATTTAAAAAAGAGAAAATTATCGCAAGAATAAAAGATTAGCATACACATATTTTATGTATAGAATTATATATTATAATTTTTCTACTTACTAGCAGTGACAGAATAATTTTTTACGTACAGGAAAAGGAATAATTTTTCTATTTACCAATTTATAACAACAGAAATAGACTTTCTTTAGAGCTTACTTTTACAATATACCAAGACTACTCACAAACTTCCTTATGAAGTTGGGGCTACTGTTATTACTCCAATCTTGCAAGTAAAGGAACTGAACTGTAGTGACTTGCCCGCGGTCACAGAACTAAGCTTTCTGTGGTCAAGGAGCCTTGAAGTCTAACTCAGGAGCTGAGACTCAACCACCATGGTTTTCTTCCTCTTTTTTGGCAAATGGTATGCAGTGTAAATATATGCATTCAATCAGAGCTGTAGACAAAATGACTTTTAGGTTAAAGCCTAGTTTGCCAGTTTGTTTAAATGTGAACAAAATGTGTGTTTTATCTTTCATATGTTTTAAATAATTGGAATCTCAATTTCAGGAAAGTTTCTGTGGAACATCCATCATTGTACCAGAACTTGAAGGAGCTCTTTATTTGAAAGAAGATGGCAAGAAATCCTGGAAAAAGCGCTATTTTCTTCTACGGGCTTCTGGAATTTATTATGTACCCAAAGGAAAGACGAAGGTCAGAAAGAAAAAAAAAATCATTTTAGCAAAAAGGCATTTCATGAAAGTGAAACTAAAGAAATCCTCAGGTGGCAATTTAAATGCAATCTTTCTCTATGAGAGTCATGGTACTTTAATGTTTATACAAATACGTACTCTATTAAGACAGAATCATGGAAATTCTTCTGAATTTTTCTATAGCTCTCTTGAAAGTGAAGAATTTTATCTATTTTAAAGTCAGGTTTCAAAAATTATGGCAGAAGCGCTTTTCTAGAGATAAATTTGTTACTTTATATATCTATTTCTGAGGACTTTTTGTCCCCTGTCTTTACTCTCTTGTTCTATAGTCATTATTGTCAAACTTCTTTTATCTGGCATCATGAAGTATAAGTCGTGACAGATCTTCATTTAGGTTTTAACCCTTATGCTCTGAACATTTAAGTTGTTCTCTGAGTTATACTGTATGCATTTCCTTGCCTAATTTAAGAGTATTTTAGACATTTAACTTCTACTTGGTGATTTAGGATTATTGCCACAAATCTACAGGCATATAGTAAATTCTTCGTCTTTGAAATGTAATTTGAGCTCTCATTCTGACCTTTAACTTTTTCTAAGACCTTTCTTAGAGGCCTGGGACATATCCATCTTTTGCTTACCTTTAAAGCTTTAGGATATCTCTCTTACCTGGATCTGGGGTACACTGAAGTATTTTTGCCTTCACTGCTGAATCCAGGGCAGCACCCAATAGTGTATTTACAAATTGCAAGCTGCTTCTTCTTGACCCACATCCTGTGCAGGTGGAGTCCTGGTGAATATCCATGTCTGCTCCCACCAGTTAGAAGGCTCTCCTATCTCTGTCGGAGTGCAGGAGAGGCATCATGGGTAACGCTTGGTCCAGGGCAGCTACTGCTGCTACTTAGCCTCAGTCTGAGAACTGATACTTCCCTGTCTGCCATCTTCAGTCCAGTCCCACACTGGGGACATAACACAAATAATTTTTTATTTTAGAAATGTTACGTGTTTGACATTTACATATAAATGAACCTATCACAAACAACACACCTCGTGATAAAAATTAGAAGTGTTCACATTGGAGTTGGGCAAGAGTACTTTCTCTCCCTGCTACCATTAACATTGGAATGGAGAAACTAGCCAGTGAGTCAAGAAAAAGGATAAGAAGTATAATTATTGGAAAAGAAGAGGCAAAAACTCTCTTTATTCACAGTTGACATGATTGTCTACCAGACAACATAAGACACTCAACTGAAAAATTATTAGGACCAAATAAATTTGCCAAGTAAGAAACTATTTTCCTTTACACAAACAATATGCAAATTAAAATATAATGGGAAAGATTCTGTGCATAACTGGAACAAAAAATATAAAATATGTAACAATAGACTTATGAAGAAATGTTCAAGACTTATATGGCATAAAATATAAAATTTAATAAAGGAAGTGAACTAAATAAATAGAAATGTAACATGTTATTAGATGAAAAGATATTAATTCTTACCCAATTTTTTCTATATATTCAATCCCAAGAAAAATTTCAATAGGATTCTTTTTACTTGAAGTTCACAGACTGATTCTAAAATTCATCAGAAAGAGACATTATTCCAAAATAAAGCAAAAAATTGTGAAGAACATTGAGGAGAACTCTTCCTCCCAGATGTCAAAACATTAGGTAACAACAATACAGGTAGAGACAAACAGATCAACAGAGAGCCTGTAGTATAAAGGAAATTAAAGTGAGCATGTTACAGCGGTGGGGAAAGAATGCAGTGTTCAATACAGCATTGAGATAATTGTTATCCATTTGAGAAGAGTGCTTTCCTACCTCATACCACGTTCCAAATTAAATCCTAGATTGATTAAATATATTTAGAAAATATATATATAAAATCTTAGAAGTTAATATTTTCATAATTTGGAGATGGGGAACCCTTCTTAAGCAAGACTAAAAACTCAAAATTATAAGGGAGAAAATTGACAAATTTGACCGTATAAAGTAGTTTTTAATTCCTTATGGCCAAAGATACCAAACAAGAAAGTAAAGGCTAGCTTTTGAGTCAGAGAATATATTTGCAACATGTATATCCTACTATGAATAGCCATAAAATATAAAGACTTCAACAAATCAACAAGAAAAAGATAACCATAGAAAAACAACAAGGCTTATTAGGTGAGAAGTCACAGAAAAAGAACTATCAGGAGCCACCGAATAATTTAAAAGTTGCTCCATCTTACTAGTAATCAGGGAAATGCGAATTAGTGAAATATTTCCTCCCATGAGATTGATGAAATTAACAATATTGATAATATCCAAATTTCGGCAGGAGTGGGTAAGAAAAAGGGGGACTCTCCTGCAGGTTGGAATGTAAACTGGTCCAGCCAGATCAGGGGACAGTTGAGCAAGATCTATGCAAATATAAAAGGGAATACCCCTTCAAATGTCAGCTCCACGCTTGGCAGTCTGCCCCACAGAAGTATTTGTTCACATGCACAGTATTTTGTGTAATAGCAAAATATTGAAATAACCTCTAGTCACCTATAGCGGAATGGTTAGATAAATTATTGTAGCTATACAGTGGAATGTTATGCAGCCGTAAAATGAATGTCATATATCCATTCATTGTCTTGACACAGAAAGATCCCAAGATAAAATGTTAAGAAAAAGAACAAGCTCATAGAACAGTACTTATAGTGTCATTCATATTTTAATGTCATTCATGTTTTAAAAATTGTGTATGTATGTGTATGTATGTGTGTATATCTGCACTTACATATGTGTATAAATGTTTACCCAAAAACACTTGAAAAAATACTACCAAACTATCAACTAAGAGACTTATATGGAGAAAAGAGTGAAACTAGAAAAAGGGGTGATAGAGGAAGATTTTCATTTTATTATATAAATATATACATATATATGTAGTTTTTTAAATTATGATGTATATTTTTGTAATTAAAAAAATTAAAACTTTGAAAATCCAGAAGAAAATATCTTACAAGAAAGAAATGTACAGCCGTATATAAAGGAATAACTGTGCGCTGAGGTGTAGCAATTCTGCCTTTTATTCTTTGTTCGCTAATTAGGTAAAGAATTACAGAATGTGAAGGGAAAAACAGAATAATAGAACATATTTGTAATTGAAGTGTAAGCAAATATGTAGATTAGAGGGTGCAGTCTTCGCAAGGCATATTATACATGGAGGAGAGGTTTCTGTTTCCATAGCAACGCTGCCAGCTCTAAAGAGAAAGCATGAAAGGACTCTCTTTTCCTCAGGAAGAAGTGCATGAAGTGTGTGCTGATTTACTGAGCTTCACATTTACCTCTCATTGTTCATCCGGAGGGTGACTTTTTTTTAAATGTTCGATCATGAAATCCATCATTGACTTAGAATGGCAAAAGCCAAAATGAAATTTCTGACTAGGTGGTCAGTCACCTTGTCTTGACTACACCGATAATGATGTCTCAGGTCAACCAGTTGTCTCTGACCCTGGGAGTGCACTTGCAGATGCCAGAACAGCCGTGTATCTTCACTCCCTTTCTGGGCCTGCGGCCTGCTGATTTGCCTTGGATGTATTCTTTTACCTCTTAAAATGCAGGCTTCGCTTCTAGAAAACTATACATGGTAGATGCTTAAATAAATTACCTAAAATTCAGTATTTTTTCTACTAAAATGTAATCCTTAGTTGTGCCATCAAGAACAACCCTGGAAAAATATTAACTGTTGACTTGGTTAAGGTCCTTTTCTTTTATCCTTCTCTTTCAGACCTCTCGAGATCTGGCATGTTTTATACAGTTTGAAAATGTCAACATTTACTATGGGACTCAGTGTAAAATGAGATATAAAGCACCCACTGATTACTGCTTTGTTTTGAAGGTATGTTGGGAGAAGTCCTTACTTGAGGTTTGTAAGCAATTTGAGTTAATATTTCCTTTTAAGAAAAAAAAAATGTTAAATATTATACAGTTAACCACAAGTATAATATCATAAGCTTTTTATTTTAAACCAAAATAGGAAAGGGGGAAACATTTATGCCACTTCAAATCACTTCCCCCAAATGCCTGTTATCTGAGCGCAAACTTTAAAGTGACTCCATCCAGGCTTCTTCATCACTTATGAAAATAAAGCTCCACATTTTGAACAAATTTTATTTACAATTTTATTGATAATACAATAAATTTTTCAGTTTTTTATTTATTGGATTCTTATTCCATTGTAAGAAGTTTTTGGAAATTAGGAACTTGACAAAATTTCCTAGAAAAAAATATAGAAAATAGAAAAAATATGTTTTTCTAAAAATAACATTACTGGGTAGTGTTGAAACTTTTTAAAGTGTGTATTATCAAAAGGCAATATGTAGGGGCCAGCCTGGCAGCGCAGCGGTTAAGTTCCCACATTCCACTTCTCAGCGGCCCGGGCTTTGCCGGTTCAGATCCCAGTTGCAGACATGGCGCCGCTTGGCATAAAGCCATGCTGTGGCAGGCAGCCCACGTATAAAATAGAGGAAGATGGGCATGGATGTTAGCCCAGGGCCAGTCTTCCTCAGCAAAAAGAGGAGGATTGGCAGTACTTAGCTCAGGGCTAATCTCCCTCAAAAAACTTAATTAGTTAATTAATTAATTTTTTTTTAAATAAGGCAATATGTAGAGGCCAGCCTGGTGGCACAGTGGTTGGGTTCAGCATGCTCCACTTCAGTGGCCCAGTGTTCACAGGTTCGGATCCCACATGTGGACCTACACCACTCATCAAGCTGTGCTGTGGCAGCATCCCACATACAAAATAGAGGAAGATTGGCACAGATGTTAGCTCAGAGACAATCCTCCTCAAGCAAAAAGAGGAAAATTGGCAACAGATGTTAGCTCAGGGCCAATCTTCCTCACCAAAAAAAAGGAGGGGGGCCAATATGTATTCTCAGGTGTTCAGTAAGGTTTATATTAGCACCATGTTTTGGAAGGTTTGGCAGAATTAACTTTTATCTGCCAGATGTGACAATTGACTCCTAGAAATGGATTCAAGGAATTTACCCAGCTGTTCTGGACATGCCCTTGTCTCAAACACCATAAATTCCTTTCCATTCGCAGTCCCCGGCACGGCTCACACCAGAGAGTGTGGATTATCTAATTCCGTAAAGCACAGTGCAAGGCTGCGTGCAGAATGTCTCCTTGCCGAGTCAGGGTTCCTCCTTCTCCATGGGGATGAGCTGGTGGAGCAGGTGTCCAGGAGACCAGCGTCTAGCAAGGCTTCTTTGTAGTCACCCGCCCCTACAACTGAGGATTATCTGCCCACAAATGTCAACAGTGCCGCTATTGAGAAGCCCTGCTGTAAACAGAATAGCCCCAGGATAATGCTGTGAAGGGACGGAGGGAAGGGAGAGAGCTAGATTCATTCATTCATTCATCCACTTATTCAATATTCATTGGATGCCCGCCGTCTGCTAGGCACTGTCCCAGGTACTGGGAATCCAGAAGTAAGTCAAACCTACAGTAATCCCTGTCCTCGTGAAGTTTACATTCAGTGTGAGGGAGATGGCAATAAACAGAAAAATGTGTAATGTGCTGGCGGGTAATGATAAGGCCGCGGATAACCATGAAGCAGGGCCGGGGACAGAGTGTGCCAGGACTGGGGCCAGGGCTTCTCTGGATGGGGTGGTCAGGGAAAGGCTCTCTGAGGGAATGACATTTGACAAAAGATGGGAGTGAAGTGGGGGAGCAAGAATTGCCTGAGAAGAGCATTCCAGGAGCAAGAGCAGTAAGTGATGTCCTGAGGTGGGGGCCCGCCCGGGTCAGAAGGAAGAGAAATGAGGAGAACGTCCTGCTGCTTCAGGTTCCCGCACCTCCCTGTCTGTTCCTGGCATTGAAAGGGTAATGAGAATAATGGCAAACACACAGCATCTATAATGCAATTCAGATATTAGCTCATTTAATGAAGCTTATGAGGTGAGACCCATACTGCCTCCAGTTTATGTGGAACCTGAGCACAGGACTCCCCAGCCAGGGAGTGGCCGAGTCAGGATGAGAAACCAGGTGGTGGCTCGGAGGCCATTCTCTCAGACACTGATTGCTAGGACATGAAATATCTTCTCTGCCCCACCCCTCCTGCACTGCTAGCTGCCCTTCAATGGTGTCTTGTGTTCCTATCTGACCCCATGGCCCTTGTTTGGAATCCTGAGACTCTGAGAAATTACCAAAATGAAGGCCCTTATTTCCATACAGGCGTTCCAGTGCACTTCATCTCTGAAGTGTTGCCCACATCTCTTAAGTAGGGAGAAGGTTTTGGAGAGAGGTTCTGAAATGCTGATCAGTAAACTGCAGACTTGTTAGCAATACAGGTTCCAGGGCCCTGGACCCACTGAATCAAATGTTTAAGGATGGGGCCCAAGAATCTTCGTTTTTCCTCGGCACAGTCAAGTTTTACACTCAGAGTATTAGAACGTGTTCTAACTCTAATCATCAACAGCCAGGGCCCAGCTGGTGATGAAATACCCTTTGGAATGGACAAATAGGGTGAAAGTTTGCAGAAGGGATGAAGGGCCCAAACTCCAAGGCTAGGGTCCAGGGGCTGAAGCAGGGATGTCTGGCAAGAGAAAGATAAGATGTCAGACCTAGAGGATCCCAGGATGCAGATTTAGACACAGTGAGCGGGGCACGAACTCAGTTTGTCCCACTGACTCGCAAGTTTGGGATTAGGTCCTAGACTCATGGCTCGAACTGAATTATCTGACTGGGACTCAGGTTATCTTGGGCAGCACTGCCAATGGCAGGGCTGACTCCCAGGGTATTAGACTAGAACTTCTAAAACCCTCATCTCCAAGACCTAATCTTCAGGAGAGAGTTGGGGGCCACCCCACCAGGGAAGAGGGCTCAGCGTTGGAGACTCCAGCCGGCCTGATGGATCTGGGAAGGAACAAGAGTCAGGGGCAAGCCCTAGCAGAATGTGCATTTCCTTTTTTCTCAGGACGATCAGTTCTGTTCTCAAGCCAATTTCTTTATGAGCAATCACTCTGCTCATTTTGCTCTTAAGCATGTTTCTCAGTTCCTTTCCAAAATGTTGTGCGTATTTATTAATTTGCTGAGCAAAACGGTCTGTCACAGTTTGGAGAACCTAATTTGTTTGTGAACATTTTAGTCACTTACTTCCCTTTCTCTCTACTATGAAAGAAAAAAAGTCTTGATATTCACATATTTCATTAGGATAAGCAGATTTGCAGAATTCAAAGAATATGTACATACATTGCGAAGGAATTCAGGATATGGGGAAGCACATTAAGAGATTGCATGATGGGTCGGCCCAGTGGCACAGCAGTTAAGTGTGCACGCTCTGCTTCTCAGCGGCCCGGGGTTCGCAGGTTCGGATCCCAGGTGCGGACATGGCACCGCTTGGCAAAAGCCATGCTGTGGCAGGCGTCCCACGTATAAAGTAGAGGAAGATGGGCACGGATATTAGCTCAGGGCCAGTCTTCCTCAGCAAAAAGAGGAGGATCGGCAGTAGTTAGCTCAGGGCTAATCTTCCTCCAAAAAGAAAAAAAAAAAAAGAGATTGCATGATTCCATGGACACACACTGACTGAGAAGTCCAGCTGAGAAGTTTCTTAGTCAGTATGAGTTTACAGATTTTGATGGTCCATGGGGAGTGCTGTCAGAAAGACTAGAGTTTGAGTCCTGGCCTGGTCACCTGGCACACTATTGTGACTCCCTAAGTCTCCCTGCCCTCTTCTACAAAGTGGAAGAAATAAGAATACCCAACCCTTCTTGTGTGCATTAAACAATATATGTCTTGGAAACATGGTCAGCACTCAATAAATGGTAGTAAGTATTACTGCACTCTAGTATTAGGGGAATATTTCTATTGACCATTATGGTTCTCAAACTCCAGTCTGGATTAGAATCACCCGGAGGCTTGTTGAAACACAGCTTGGTGGGCCCCCAGAGTTTCAAGTTCAGGGGGTCTGGGATCAGGCCCAGGAATTTGCTCTTCTAACAAGTTCCCAGGTGATGCTGACGCTTCGATTCAAGACCACGCTCCCAGAAGGCGACATAGACATCACTTGTTCCTAAGGGGTGTCTGTACTCACAGGAAAGATACCAGATACCAGAATCTGAAGAAAGGACTTAGTCCTCAATAATCCTTTCCTTCCTTGCACTATTTCTTTGATGCACGCTCTCATTCTGAGACTGTGATGAAGTTGCTCCTTTGTGAATTCTTTTGGGTTTTTTTTTCTCTTTTTAAAGATTGGCACCTGGGCTAACAACTGTTGCCAATCTTTTTTTTTTTTTTTTTCCTGCTTTATCTCCCTGTACACAGTTGTATATCTTAGCTGCACGTCCTTCTAGTTGTGGGATGTGGGACGCCACCTCAATGTGGCCTGACGAGCAGTGCCATGTCCGCGCCCAGGATCCAAACCCTGGGCCGCTGCAGCGGAGCGCGCGAACTTAACCACTTGGCCACGGAGCCGGCCCCTGTGAATTCTTCCTCACTCCATTCTGAGGCTAGATGTGATGGGGCAGTGAAAGAGACCTTCCAGGAGAAAATACGCTTTTAGCGAGCTCTGCTACGAGGCGGTGGAGTATCATGGAAAGAGCGCTGGAATTCGGCTCCATCACTCACCTGCTCCCTACCCCTTAATCTGCTGTGTTTTCTTCATAGGACTTTTCACAATCTGAAATTACATTACTTAGTGTTTTGTATTTTTATTGGCTTTCTCTCCTAATAGAATATAAACGTCTTGAGTGCAGGGACTTTTTCTGTTGCATCCACTGTTTTGTTCTAGAGCCTGGATCAGTGATTTGATGCATGGTAAATGCTCAGTACACATCCAATGAATGAATCAATGAACAGAAATGCACATCAAGCCCCTGCCGCATTGTGCCCTTCAAAACC